ATGCCACCCACAACTTCCAAATGGAAGCCGTTCCCACTGATTAACTCCTCTGTCAGGAAATGTTTCCTTATTCTAGGTTTGGTTCTTTCCTTGCTTAGTTTCCAATCATTGTTTCTTGTCTTGCTCCTCCTCCTCTCTGCCAACCCCATTCTCTCCTACCGCTGATGATGTTAACTAGCTGGGTCGTGAAATGTCTGCAAGAAAACAACCAAGCTCGGAGAGCGCCAAGGATCCCACAGACCTTGGTTTTTCCAGGGAATACTTACCGTGGACGAGTCAACCCTGGTTTGACTGAATTGATCTACTTTTCTGGGCTTGCAAAACCCCAGAAAACTATAAAATAACGAGACGGATTAGCTTGCAAAAAAACTCCCCTCCACTCAGTCTAAGGGCCAGGAAAATAAATTGCCCCACGTATTTTGAAGTACCAAGAAGCCTTTGTTCTGGAAGAAATCACTCTAAGAGGATCGATGACTCTGTGCTACCAAAATAGCTGCTTATTAAAGATGCCGTACAAACTGCATTTCTTTAATGCAATTAAGATCAGGGGAAGATGCTAACCAAGGCTTGTTCTGGAAATGTACTCATTTTTATTTTTTTTTTGTTATTTGCTATCTGCCAAAAACAAAGTCTTCATTCATAACATTCCTATCCAAACAAACTTGCAAGATAGTTTTTGCTACAGGCAAGATGGAAGTAACCGCGTCAGTCAGCACAGGAGCAACAACAGGCAATACCGGAACAACCGCAAGGAACAACAGGCGTGGCTGACTGTTGGATCGATTTTGCTAGATTCTAAGGTCCAAGAAAAGTGCGTATAGTCCAGGCGATGGTTTTCCCAGTTGCAATGTATGGCTGGGAAAGTTGGACCATAAGGAAGGCTGAGAAGGCCAAAGAATGGAGGCCTTTGAACTCTGGTGCTGGAGAAGACTCCTGCGAGTCCCTTGGACTGCAAGGCGATCCAACCGGTCAGTCCTAGAGGAGATCAACCCTGACTGCTCTTTAGAAGGCCAGATCCTGAAGAGGAAACTCAAATGGCCACCTAATGAGAAGGAAGAACTCCCTGGAGAAGAGCCTAATGCTGGGAACGATGGAGGGCAAAAGAAGAAGAAGGGGACGGCAGAGAACGAGGTGGCTGGATGGAGTCACTGAAGCAGTCGGCGTGAACTTAAATGGACTCCAGAGAATGATAGAGGACAGGAAGTCTTGGAGGAATGTTATCCATGGGGTCTCAATGGGCCGGACATGACTTCGCAACTAACATCAACAACAAACAAAATTGCTGATTAGAAACCTCTTATGCTCTTTAGAAGGCCAGATCCTGAAGAGGAAACTCAAATCCTTTGGCCACCTAAGGAGAAGGAAGGACTCCCTGGAGAAGAGCCTAATGCTGGAACGATGGAGGGCAAAAGAAGAAGAAGGGACGGCAGAGAACGAGGGGGCTGGATGGAGTCACTGAAGCAGTTGGCGTGAGCTTCAATGGACTCCAGAGGATGGTAGAGGACAGGAAGGCCTGGAGGAATGTTGTCCATGGGGTTGCGATGGGTCGGACATGACTTCGCAACTAACAACAACAATAGATAGAAGATAGATAGATAGATAGATAGATAGATAGATAGATAGATAGATAGAAGATAGATAGATAGATAGATAGATGATAGATAGGTAGGTAGATCCAAGCGAGTCCTGCGAGTCCCTTGGATGGCAAGGCGATCAAACCAGTCGGTCCTAGAGGAGACCAACCCTGACTGCTCTTTAGAAGGCCGGATCCTGAAGAGGAAACTCAAATCCTTTGGCCACCTAAGGAGAAGGAAGGACTCCCTGGAGAAGAGCCTAATGCTGGGAACGATGGAGGGCAAAAGAAGAAGAAGGGGACGGCAGAGAACGAGGTGGCTGGATGGAGTCACTGAAGCAGTCGGCGTGAGCTTCAATGGACTCCGGAGGATGATAGAAGACAGGAAGTCTTGGAGGAATGTTATCCATGGGGGCGCAATGGGTCAGACACAACTTCACAACTAACAACAAAAAGGTCCAGTGCCACAGAATCCTGAATTCTTTCCGAAAAACCAAAAAGTAAGAACACGGGGATTCGAAATGGATTCCTTCCTTGCTAACACGGCCATAAACCGAGCCAAACTTGATTCGTGGGACCACCAAACCCAACGTGTTGCGTTGCTCTTCCAGACTGAGCTGGTGCAAAAGTCCAACCGATAGCCGCGTAAAACTAAACAAGCCATTCCTAGTGTGTGTGTGTGTGTGTGTGTGTGTGTGTGTGTGTGTGTGTGCATGGGTTTGTTTGCATCGCAGTTCAAGTTGCAGTCTTCAACTTATGACCATCGAATTGGGACCAGAATTTCCTCCTTTGTCCAGCAAGGCCGTCCCTAAAAGAGACACGCCCAATTTTTAGAAGCTTGTTGCCACTATCATTAAGCGAAATCAGTGCTGTCATTAAGCGGATGGCAAAGTCGTTAAGCCACTCTGGTTTCTCCCATGGATTTTGATCGTTGGAACTTGCCGGGAAGCCGCAAATGGCAATCACGTGACTCTAAGACACCGCAACAGTCATAAGTGTGAGGATTGGATGCCACCCACTTTTTTTTTTTTTTTTAGCGTCGTTGTAACTTTCAATGGTCACTAAATGAACGATTGAAAGTCGAGGATTACCTGCACGGAAGCAGCTCTGGGATAACACTGATTTTATCCTAGTTTCTGTAAGGTCAAGGATTTGAACTCTGGGCTTTACGGCTCACAGGAGCAAATCCAAACCTCCGGCCATCACACACACCCCAGATCAATTTGCTGACAAATGCACAAATGTAGTGGCTCAGTGGCTAAGACGCTGAGCTTAACGATCGAAAGGTTGGCCGTTCAGCGGTTCGAATCCCTAGTGCCGCGTAACGGGGTAAGCTCCCGTGACTTGTCCCAGCTTCTGCCAACCTAGCAATTCGAAAACTAGGGGATGAAAGGCGGGGGGAAATGGGAATGTCACCCCATTCTAATGGTTGTTCAATCTCTTCTTGAAAGCCTCCAGTGTTGGAGCATTCACAATTTCTGGTGGCAAGTTGTTCCACTGGTTAATTGTTCTAACCGTCAGGAAATTTCTCCCTAGTTCTAGGTTGCTTCTCTCCTTGGTTAGTTTCCATCCATTGCTTCTTTTCCTGCCTTCAGGTGCTTTGGAGAAGAGCTTGACTCCCTCTTCTTTGGGGCAGCCCCTGAGATATTGGAAGGCTGCTATCATGTCTCCCCTGGTCCTTCTCATCATTAAACTAGACATACCCAGTTCCTGCAACCGTTCTTTATATGTTTCAGCCTTCAGTCCCCTAATCCTCTTTGTTGCTCTTCTCTGCACTCTTTCTAGAGTCCCCACATTTTTTAAAAAAAAATCTTTGTGACTTTAATCCACTGTGATCAAAGCCTCTGCTTTCCAACACCCCATCTTTGATAGGGCACTATTATTAATCGCTCCATCACTTGCCAGTGGATTTAAAGGAGCCGCCGGAGAAGCAGCATCAAAACAGCCTTCTCCCCCCACCGCCACCCCTAGTGACGACAAACCCCAGGGACTAGGAACTTGGGCCTCTTCGTTAACAAGCCAATGATCTCCGACCACAAAAAGGAGGGTTGATGCCAGCTCGCCAATCCCAAAGCGGCAGCCGCAAAGCAGCCGATGGCGAGAGAGAGAGAAAAAAGGGGGGGTGGAAGGGCGGAGTTGTTTGAATCGCCTGCCTCTTTTTTTTTTTTTGTGCAGCTTACTACCGGTTGCAAAATGAAGGAGAAAGAGGGGGGGAAAAGAGATAGATAGATAGAAAGAAGGAAGGAAAAGAAAGAAAGAAATAAGGAAGGAAGGGAAAGAGAAAGATAGATAGATAGATAGATAGTTAGAAAAAGAAAGAAAGAAAGAAAGAAAGGAGGGAGAGAGGAAGGAAGGGAAAGAAAGAAATAAGGAAGGAAGGGAAAGAGAAAGATAGATAGATAGAAAGAAGGAAAGAAAGAAAGAAAGAAAGAAAGGAGGAGGGAGGGAGGAAGGAAGGGAAAGAAAGAAGGAAGGAAGGAAAGCAATAAGGAAGGGAGGGAGGAAGGGAGGAGGAAGGAAGGGAAAGAAAGAAAAAAGGAAGGAAGGGAAAGAAAGAAAGAAAGAAGGAAGGAAGGGAAAGAAAGAAAGAAGGGAAAGAGAAAGATAGAAAGAAAGAAAGAAAGAAAGAGGGAGGGAGAAGGAAAAGAAAGAAAGAAAGAAGGAAGGAAAGAAATAAGGAAGGGAGGGAGGGAGGGAGGGAGGGAGGGAGGAAGGAAGAAGGAAGGAAGGGAAAGAAAGAAGGAAGGAAGGAAGGAAAAGAAAGAAAGAAAGAAGGAAGGAAGGAAGGAAGGAAGGGAAAGAGAAAGAAAGAAAGAAAGAAAGAAGGGAGGGAGGGAGGGAGGGAGGAAGGAAAGAAAGAAAGAAAGAAAGAAAGAAGGAAGGAAAGAAATAAGGAAGGAAGGGAGGGAGGGAGGGAGGAAGGGAAAGAAAGAAAGAAAGAAAGAAAGAAAGAAAGAAAGAAAGAAAGAAAGAAAGAAGGAAGGAAAGAAATAAGGAAGGAAGGGAGAGAGGGAGGGAGGGAGGAAGGGAAAGAAAGAAATAAGGAAGGAAGGAAGGTTGAGGCGGAAGTAAGAACGCCATGGGGAGGGGGGGGCGATGGGAGAAGAATCCCCCCCCCACCTCTTTCCAACAAAACACCCAGGCTGAGTTAAAAAAAAATCAAACGTGGCACCAGCCAAGAAAGAAAGAAAGAAAGAGACTTTCCACGCATGTTTTGCTTTTTTGGCGTTGTTGCAACCAGAAAAGTTCCACCCCGGTGCACGAAGGGGAGTGGGGGGAAGAGCAGCAGCCAAGCAGCCCCGCCCATGCATGCATGCACCTATGCATGCGTGGTTGCATGCATGCATGCATGCATCCCTTGGGAGGTGGGGGGGGGGGGGGTTTCCAAAGCCAGCCGTGCCAAAGGCGCAATGCCCAATATCCTCACCTGCCAGGATCGCCTTGCCCGGGTGCGTCAGCTTGACTTTGCCGGCCGGGGCTGCGGCAGCCAGGCAGCGGGGTCTGGCGAAGGGGCCGACGAAGCCCGCGGCCGGTGGGGTGGAAGACATCGCGGTCGCGGGTGGAGGAGGAAGAGGAGGAGGAAGAGGCGGCTGGTGCCAAGCAAGCGGCCCCGCTGCTCGGATATAGCCCTCCGGGAGGCGTGATCGCCAGCCAGCCCCTCTCGGCCGGCCGCCGCCCCCTTGCTTTTTCCCTTCCTTCCTTCCTTCCCTCCCACCCATCCACGCCCACGGGCGGGCGGGGCAACCAGGCGTCACGGCTCAGCCGGCCTTGGAAGGGGGAGCCGGCTGGAGCGTGCACGGGAGTGGAGGGGTTGCGTCCACACGACCTCCGCTTTGCACCAAGAAGGGGAAAGCTGGTGGGGGTTGAGGCTTGCGTGTTTCCTGGCTGCATGGAGCTGAGTGGGTGCCCCCCCCCGTTGGTAGCGTGCACGAGAGTGGAGGGGTTGCATCCACACGACCACTCCCAACTTTGCACGCAGGGGAAAGCTGGTGGCGCAGGGGAAAGCTGGTGGCGTGGAGACCAGCTTGTTCCTCGCTGCGTGGAGAGGAGTGGGCGCCGCTCCTTAGCCCCTGGGAAGCGTGCACGGGAGTGGAGGGGTTGCATTCACACGACCTCCGCTTTGCACGAAGAAGGGGAAAGCTGGTGGCGGTTGATGCTTGCGTGTTTCCTGGCTGCATGGAGCTGAGTGGGTGCCCCCCCGCCCGTTGGTAGCGTGCACGTGAGTGGAGGAGGTTGCATTCACACGACCACTCCCAGCTTTACACCTAGGGGAAAGGTGGTGACCTGGAAGCCAGCCTGTTCCTCACTGTGTGGAGAGGAGTGGGCGCCGCCCCCTAGCCCCTGCGCAGCATGCATGGGAGTGGAGGGGTTGCATTCACACAACCCCCTAGTTTTGCACGCAAGGGAAAGCGTGGAGGCCAGCCCGCGTGGAGCGGAGTGGGCGTCGCTCTCCCCACCAACCTCTGGGAAGCGTGCACGGGAGTGAAAGGGTGGCATTCACACGACCCCCCCCCCCCCGCTTTGCAGCTAGTGGCCTGAGCGCTGCCCCCTGACCCCTGGGAACTCTGCCCGGGGATGGAGGGGGTTGCATTCACACGACCTCCGCTTTGCACGCAGGGGAAAGCTGGTAACGTGGAGGCCAACCCATTCCTGGTTGCGTGGGGGGGAGAGGGGGCGCCGCTCTCCCCACCAACCTCTGGGAAGCGTGCACGAGAGTGGAGGGGTTGCATTCACAATGACACCCCCCCCCCAGCTTTGCAAGGAGGGAAAGCCTGTGACCTTGTCGATCAGAAAGGTCGGTGATTCGAATCCCCAGGATAGGTCTCCTGGGTGAGCAGGGGGTTGGACTAGATGACCTCCAAGATCCCTTCCAACTCTGTTACTGTTACTTCCTGGCTGGCTCCCAACCCCTGGGAAGCGTGCATGGGAGTGGAGGGATTGCATTCACACGACCCCCCCCCCCAGCTTTGCAAGGAGGGGAAAGCTGTGGCGTGGAGGCCAGCCTGTTCCCGGCTGCGTGGAGTGGGCCGCTGCCCCCCAACCCCTGGGAAGCCTGCATGGGGGTGGAGTGGTTGCATTCACACGGTGCCCCCTTACACGGGGAAAGGTCTCTGCTGCCGGGCACTTCCTGTGCAACCCAGACTTCCAAATGGAGTTATTTGGGGATGGGGTCGTCTCAACCCGAGGTCTTCCTACAAGAGGTTCAAAGGAAGTCCGCGTAGGTGCAAGGAAGGAGGGGTGGGTTGCTCTCTGCTTCCGCCTCTTTGCAAGGCGAGAGTGTACCTGTGCGCGAGACAGGTACATCCCCTAGTGGTGACCAAGGGGATTTCAGGGGCTGAGGTTTTAAGGGCGTGCGGCCCTCTAGTGGTCCCTAAGAGAACGTCACCTGGGACTTCCCCAGTCACCTGAGAGGTTTACCTGTTCCCTGTTCGCCAGGGGTGACCCGAAGACTAGATCCGCTAGGAAAGGTGGTGGACTCAGGTACAGGTGCTCCTCGACTTAAGACCGCAATTGAGCCCAGAATTGATGTTGCCAAGTGAGAAATTGGCTAAGGGCTCCTTTTTACGACTTCTCTTGCCAAAGTTTGTGAAGTGAATCACTGCAGTTGTTAAATGAGTAACATGTATTTATTATGATGGTTGCAGTCTCCCGGGGGTTCATCTGATCACTTTTTGCGACCTGTCAATCAAAGCCAGATTGACTAGCAAGAAAGATCCTAAAATGGGGGCAAAAACTCGTTTAGCTATCTTGCTTAGCGATAGAAATTTTGATCTGGGTTTGTGGCAGGAAATCAAGGATTATCTGAAGAAAGAGAAGAGTTTCTAAAGAGGTGAACTTTCTTTTAACCTCGCATTGTTCAATTGTCCTTAAGTCTAATGCCCTTAAAACCTTCCTTTTCCAACAAGCCGGGCTGGCCTAATTCTTTTTAAGTGTTTTTAATTGTTTTGTTTATTGTTTTAATTAATGGGGCCAAATTTATATATATATTTTTTTAACTGTATTTTAATATTTGTATTTGATGTTTTTATTTGGCTGTTCACCGCCCTGAGTCCTCAGGGAGAAGGGCGGTATACAAATTCAAAAATAAATAAATAAATAAAATTTTCACGGGTATCGACGGCTTGGTCTACTCCATGGACCATCTTCCAGGGTTTTTTTGCTGTGCCCCCCAACGGAATGGAGTACGCGATGTCGGCTCGCGGGCTGGCACGGAAGTCTTCTCGGCTCCAGAACCAATGCGTGAATTGCAACCAAACTGGCTTTTCGTTGTTGTTGCAAAAACAGCTCGCTTGCAGCTGGAAGCTTGAAACAAAGACTGCATTTCAAGCTTGGTTCTATGCCATATTGGCGCAATTTAAGGACAACCTGTCCTTTAAAAAAAAAACACACACACACCCCAAAAAACCAAGAGGTTGCGGGAAAAGAAATACAATTACATCTAGCTATCTCTCTGGTTTCTTGGCAAAGTTGCAGAAGCTGTTTTTCATGGCTTTTTCCTTGGGTTGAGAAGACTGGCCCAAGGTCGGCCAGTTGGCTTTGTGCCGAAGGCCGGACTAGAACTCACGATCTCCTGGTTTTTAGCTTCGTGTCTTAAATCATTAAACTGGCGCTAACACTAGAGCGAAAAAAAATTAGCCTGAGTAGAATCGGAAAGAAAACGATTCCGTCAGCTTCGGGTTCTGTTCGCATACCGAGCCGTTTTTTAAAAAACAGAGTCGGAAGGGAGCTTGGAGGTCTTGGATTCGAATGACGTGCTAATATCTGCAACCCGCAGACCCCCAAAACTGGGTGCAATGTCTGAGCTCTGCCACCAAGACAGATTTTCAGAATTTTCCAATGTTTAAAAAGCAAGCTCTTATATCCATGATGGCGAACCTATGGCACGCGAGCCGTCGCCCTAAATCAGCTCCACCGCGCATGTGTATGCACCTCCTGCAGGCCAGCTGATTTGGGGGTCTCTGCCGCGCATGTGGGAGACGCATGCCTGTGCCACCCCTCCCCTCCCAGGAGTCTCCACGCGGCCCGTTTTGGATGCCAGTACAGGGCTCGCGTGGAGACTCTGGGAGGGCGAAAAATGGGCCTACCGGAAGTCCAGAAATGGGCCATTTCCGGCCTCCAGAGGGCCGGGGGAGGCTGTTTTCGAAACGGGTAGTTTCCGGGCTCAGGAGGCTTCACGGAGGCCTGGTAGGCCAAGCACTGTGAAGCAGTGAATGCTATTGCCCTTCCTTTTCCCCTTCCTTCCCTCCCTCCCACCCAGTGGTTAGAACGCAGTACTGCAGGCAACTTCTGCTGACTGCTGATTGCCTGCAATTTGGCAGTTCCAATCTCACCAGGCTCAAGGCTGACTCAACCTTCCATCCTTCCAAGATGGGTAAAACAAGGACCCAGATTGTTAGGGGCAAATAGGCTCTGTAAACCGCTTAGAGAGGGCCGTAAAGCACTGTAAAGTGGTATATAAGTCTTAAGTGCTATTGCAATCAATCAATCAATCAATCAATCATCAATCTATCTATCTATCTATCTATCTATCAAATCAGCCTTCCATCCTTCCGAGGTGGGTAAAACGAGGACCCAGATTGTTGGGGGCTGACTCTGTAAACCGCCTAGAGAGGGCCGTAAAGCATTGTAAAGTGGTATATAAGTCTTAAGTGCTATTGCAATCAATCTATCTATCTATCTATCTATCTATCTATCTATCTATCTATCTAATCAGCCTTCCATCCTTCCGAGGTGGGTAAAATGAGGACCCAGATTGTTGGGGGCAAATAGGCTGACTCTGTAAACCGCTTAGAGAGGGCCGTAAAGCACTGTAAAGTGGTATATAAGTCTTAAGTGCTATTGCAATCTATCTATCTATCTATCTATCTATCTATCTATCTATCTATCTATCTATCTATCTAATCAGCCTTCCATCCTTCCGAGGTGGGTAAAATGAGAACCCAGATTGTTAGGGGCAAATAGGCTGACTCTGTAAACCGCTTAGAGAGGGCCGTAAAGCACTGTGAAGCGGTATATAAGTCTTAAGGCTATTGCCAAGCGCGATCTTCACGGGCTGCCAGGTCCTCTGATCCCTTGCGGTCCCCACCGTTGCGAACCACACAGCGACACCGGTTTGGTTTATGTTTATAATTGAACTTCCATAATAGTCATGATTAGCACAAGATCCATAGCCATAAACTTATACATGGTTATCTAGGTTGTTGGTTGTTGCTGCTGCTGCTGTTGTTGTTTTTAAGTACATAAAACGTTAACGATATACGTTCTCTGAAGAAGTGGCACCAAAAGTGTAGCAGGATTCGGTCGCCGTTGTCTTATCAGGAGGGGGGGGAGGAGGAGAATGCAAGAACGCAGGTGGCTTCATCGGACAGAATTCTGGCAAAGCCGAGAAAAAATAATAATAATAATAACAATAACAATAATAAAAAAAATTTGACCTACTGGGGGTCAGTTCAGGATGCCCGGCAGGCTTCAAATAACAACCAGAAGAGAAGCTTTCAGGATGGAGATAACGAATAAGCAAAATCTTACGCTTTTGCTATGATTCTATAGCGTCGGTGTGATCCTAGAATCTAGGCGTTTTTTCCAATGTTTACGGCTTCCCCGGGAATAGAGATACGCCGAAGTTGGCTTGCAAATCTTGGTCGTTGCCATTTGTGGGTTTTTTTTTTT